AACGGCAACTCTTTTGGCTATCAAGCAATCAACTGCCTGAACACAACCCACACAGGCCAAGGATCTCCAACATGTCTTGTTTAACGTCTCACACAGCCTATCTCTGCCGGTTTATCGGAGTCGGATCCACTACCGGAGTGTGTGGAGCCGAAGGGTTCAGCAACGGAACTACCTTGGGGTCAGAACTCGGCCATGTAGGGTCAATGCACGAAGAGAGTACAAAACTTCGAGGCCAGTGCAATGGCCGCGGGCCACAACCCCTCCTCACAGCTACGTACAATAAACGGCAATGTGGCAACGAGTGGCAAGGGTTGCCTGAATGCAGTCCCTCAGCGCTCTTGACAGCGCTGATGCTGGCTCGCAGCCCAGTGTGACCCTGCCCGTCCTGGTGGCGCTTGCGGATGCGCTCCAAATACGTTGCGGTCCTCTTGCAAGCCCAATTTCGCTCCGTGAAAATCGCTCGGTTTCCAGTGGTTTTGCAGACGTACATAACCAATGCGCAAACAACAAAAGGATCACACATGGCCATACCATACCATCAACACCGCCAAGCGCTAGACTGCTCTGGATCGACGGCATGATGCGCTGTCCAGTACCTGAGCAGCTGCACAAGTGAGAAGCCAAACTGCACAAACTGAATCTAAACTTAGCGGTTTCTGCGAATGCTACGGGGGACTATTGCCGACACATTGTCGTTCTTCTAACTTTGGCAGCAGCCATAACAGAATTCGTAAAAGAGTGTTGCTCAACTCGGAAAGGTATTAGGAATCCTTTAAAGAAGCGTTAGGGCCCTAGGGAGTGCTACTCGTGGCTAGATTCTACACCCCTTTTGGACCCCCGTGCTCAGCAGGAACTTGATAGCCAAGAAATTGATAATGCTCGTGGTTCACGGTTTGGGGCACATACCTGGCTATATCTGTACCCAGCTCAGGCCCAACAAACTAAACATGGCTCGTGCAGAAACCGCAGGTAGGCCCGACTCCGTTCTGCTTCCGTTTTTCCATTCTTGATCTAATCCGAATCCGCAGCCGGTGCGCTCCAACTGCTCTACGGCCTACTTTGGCTCATTGGCCAGAAGACGAAGTCGCCTTCGCTTGGGAGGCTGAGTCTCCCCTTCTCGAGTCTTCGCCTCTTCCGCTTGGCATGAGTGGGCGGTGGCCGACTGCTTCGACAGGGCCACATCCACTGATTCTCCGACTTCGGCCACTGCAGTCACGTTTCTTTGAAGGGCTTCCTCAGCCTTGGTTGCAGACTTATCTTTGCGGCGCCCGGACATGACCGAATAGTCCCGCGAGGCCTCTTCAGCGGTTGGACGCAGTGGCCCAAGAACACGCTTCATTCCGGGGCTTTCGAGACAAGCAATGTACCATCGCTTTCCACGCACGATCTGCGGCCGAACACCTTGTGCAGGAGACATCTCCACAGGCGTGCTCAGCTGCCATGTCGCAATTAGTTTGTTGACTGCATCGCTCCATCTGCTCCGGTATTTTTCTGCTTCTGCCTCAAGCTCCGCATGGGTCTTGACCAGCTCTTGCTTGCCGGGGCAGTCGCGACGAAACTCGGATATCTTCTTCTGCAAATCCTGCATGTCCTCCAAGCAGTCCTGCAGCGGCTTGCTGAACTGAACGGCTAATCGCGTCAGCTTGGCACGCTGTTCGCGAGTCAGTGCTGAAGTTGCAGCTTCTCGTGGCCAGAGCGCAGCATCACTTCGGTATCGAACTGCCACCTGTCGAGCAGTTGTCTTGACGGAGCCGCTTGTTGCCGCTGCAGTCTGGGTTCTTACCGGTGCAGAGAAAGAGGAGGAAGAGGAAGAAGACGAGGATTCCTTTTGTTCGGGTTCTGGTGCCCGGGATTGCTGCGCCTTCACAAGGACCTTCGCCTTGGCTTTCGGTGCCGAGCGGGCTTGGCCTTGCAGAGTTGGAGCCGTCGCCGGAGCGGTGGCCAGTGTTGTCAAGGGTACATCATCAGAGTCTGAGGATGTAGAGCTGGAGCTGCTGTCACTGTCAGAACTACTGTCGCTGTCGGCATCTGTCGGCGTCGCTTTCTTTGGAGTTTGGGAGGCTTTCGGAGCAGCTGCCGGTAGGGAAGACAGCGGCATATCATCCTCCAGATCCAAAAATTTCTCTGCCAGATCGCTCTTGGAGACCACACCTTGTGGCCGGGCAGGCACAGACACAGATGGAAGGGCCAAGCCCACCAGAAGAGAATCGTCCGCATCCACCGCGAGAGGCTTCAAGGGCCAGGTCGGGGACTTCCCTGTCAAGTACGACAAGTGTGCCTGATCGATTTCTTGCTCATCCAGTCCCTTTGCTGTCAAGAACCTCTTCTGCTTCTCCCAGTCGCTTGATTGCACCGCAGGGTGGGCAAGGAAACTTGCTGCGAGCTCAATCTTTCTTTGCCGGGATGATCCCTCCATTTCAGAGACTTGACAGGTGGCATGGTGTGCCGTGGGCCATTACCACGCACGACCTAGCAATTTCAGGCTTAACATGGTTTAACTGCGAGCTGCCGTGTCGGTGGGACTGAGTAGTATACCTCGGGCGGTGTGTGCCGTTCTTTTGCGATGCTTGTACCGCGCCCTACTGTTTGCTACAGCGCTACTGCTGCAGCCATGAAACAGCTGCACCTTACCGAGCTGACCCGGTTCATGTCAGAAACAGTCTCGTCTACAAACAGGGCGCTTCGAAGTTGGATCTATCGTGGTCTGCCCGCATATTTAAAAGGGGGGCAATGAGTGCGAGTTTAGCCCGTCTGTGGCTCCGGCACTTTGGGCACGCCCTTTTTGTACCAGCGCTTGTCACCCCCGATGTTGGTACATCCTGAGAAGCACATGGCTGAAGTAGATTGCGCCAAAAGGAAATGTAAGAGCCGACATGAACAAGGTTTCGAACATTGTTGCATCAGATTCGGGCTTGCAGATGAGTAGCCAATCCCCTCCATGCACCGATTGCCATGGTGCTGCACCCACGACAGCAGCGAGTCGAACTCAACGGTCGCCTTGCGGGATCTTAAAGGGTCTTGCTTGCACACTGCCGCATGCCTTCGAGCCTTCAGCTATGAAACCCGACATCAAAATTATTCAAAGACGAAGTGTTTCTACAATTTCTACACGATACGAGCTTTCTGGGCAAAAAGTGCGAAACAACTTAGACAGGGATGCATGCATCATAACTCAAGAAGGGCATCATGCCAGGCGAGCCGGCACGTCGATCTTGCACCACTGTTTCGTTGCTCGTTCCTCCCAAAGCCCGACCTTGGCAGTGGCTCCCGTGCATGAGTGGCACCACAACATGACCAACACTTGGATAGAGCAGAGTGTAGCGTTTACGCTCCTACGTGCAATGATATGTTGGCCTTTGCAGCAGAGACAAGGTGGCACGCCGCGGCTAGACGATACAAGGCCTGAGGGCCAGCATTGAGCAGGTCTTCATCCTCGTTAATGTCCCCAACCTTGAATGTGCAAGGCGACTGTGGGCTTGCAGGAAAAAGCCGTGTGTGCAAGCGTCTGCTTCGTGCTATCTGTGCGTTATGGCACCGGCTCTGAGCCCTGCTGCATTGAAGTGCTTCACCTGAGAAAGCAACTCTCGAGCTGTCACCTTTGGCCGAAGACGTGATATGACGGAGGCGCAGGTTCAAGCCGACTCAGCTCGTCAGCTCAAGAGTCACCAGCTCGGCCGCAGGCCGTCACATTTGGCAAGCGCTCGTCACGAAAGTGGCGGCCTGCATTTCTTCAGTTGCTGATGCAATGCCTGGAACTTTGTGGTGAAGCAGTGCAACCTTTCGAACATGTTCCAGCAACACCGCGCTGAAGTCTCTGTTAGCATCTTGTCTGTTAGTGTCTGGTAGTCGGTTGATTATTGATTATGCGTTGGCGGGACGGACCCCTCAGAAGCAACACCCAATGCTTCTGAAGTCCACTTCCTGAGTTGCTGGCGGACCCATCTGCCGAAGAACGGCAAAGCCTGGAGGATATCGTGCAAAGCCGACACAGCCGAGGTCTGGAGGCTACTCGTTGTCCCAGCTGCCCAATGCGTCCAAGTCGGATGTGCATGACACCATCGCATGGTCCTGATGCAGTTCAACGTGGTCAACGGCATGCTGCAGCGGTGAGTGTTGAGTCACAAGCTGCATCGGGCAAGGCTTGTCTGGATCTGGACAATATCGCCTTGGTAGCACCAGGCGTTGTTCCTCTCGGGGTCGGGTGTGATTCCGCAGATTTTGGATGCCGACGGCCACCAGGGCGCAGCCGGCTGATCCTCCGACATGGATTTGGTGTTCTGGGTAACGGCATGGCCAATGCACACGATGGCAAGGGAAGTAACTCCTTGATACTCCAATCCAGGAAGTGGGCGGGCATCAGTGGAAACGAATATTCCTCTGAGGTTCATGCACGTCTACACGAACCAGGCCCAACAAGATAAAAAGGCACCTAACATGAGGGGAGAGGTTGTCCGCAGCGTCCTTGTTCACCCATTTGCTTGTCAAGCTGAACAAGCGGTCGGCTCCTGGCATTAGGAGTGTCCGCAAAGAATCTGCTGCACGTACAGTTTTCTCGAAAAGCACGGAAGTGAATAGTCCAAGCTGCCTTTTGCATAGAAACGTGTGTCAAGCAGCTCGATGGGTGGAAGGCTTCGACGAGTTCGACATCTAGCATCGTGGAAGGCTAGTAACACAGGCTAGCACAAGTGTTTAGACTTTGCTTCGTAGTGTGTATAACCTGCTGGGCCGACAAGGCGCGAAAATGCTGCTGCTGATACAGTGGGTGTGCTCCATCTGTCTCCCAAGATTTCTCCTGGCGCGACGAACTGGTCCACATCAACTTCCACTCCGTTCAAGGCCTTGGATCATTCACGATAAAGGCCGAGATGCGAGGAAAACGGGGAAATCCGCCCTAAAAATGGTTGCCGGGCAGGTCACACGTGACATCAAGATGGCTCGCAGCTTGTTGAAGTTAAAGCTCCTTGACATCAAGCCGGTGCGGCTGCCGTCTTTGTAAGTTGGTGGCAAAACTGCAGCATAAACGAACGTCCTTCTGATACGCGGCTCGTTTGGCAAAGGAGCTGCGTGAAGCACGACCTTACAAGAAGGTCTGTCCCTCGGCTTAGCCTGCACTCTCCCTCCAAGTCCGAGATGCTTTCTTCAAAACACAAAGCGTCTGAGCACGCCCGCCAGCTGTGGGAAGCGCTCTGCGGTCCAGCTTTTCGGTGTGAACAGGCCGAAGTTGAACATGAGGATCGGGTTCTCCCTTAACATACATGTCATGAGAGATGACATGTCATGAGAGATGTCCATCCAAGACGGGAGCTACAGTATCGATTGTGGATAACTCCAATCTAGAGTGACAAACTGACAGTCGGATTGGCTTGCCACTTGTGCGTGGAAGTATCAGCGAGAAGAAGAACATACTGCCGCACACACGCATTCACGAACGCCGGCGGCGAGGCATCCAAATAACCAACTGACTGATTGGGTGACATGCACGCAACTTGACGCAATCAAAATCGCACTCCCATCCACGTCGCATGGACAAACACGCACGCACACAAACGAACGAACGACTCCCGAGCAGCCGGCGAGAAATAATGGACTGATTTGATGAGTTCCTGCACCACGGCACCGTTTCTACTTGTTCGTCTGAGGAATTGGACAGACTCGTTGCTTAAAAAGACCAGGACTTGCCCGGCCTCTGCCATTTTCACGAACTGCGAGGTTGGAGGTCCACCGACGTAGCTCACCCATGCTTTCCTGCAAACGCCAGCGTTTGTGACACGTTCGTGACGAAGGAAGTGGACAGTTGGGTCGCTGAACACTAGTCTGCACTTGCGAATCTGACGGCTGTCACCTGTGCCGATACGTCTGCGTGGCTGCCTACGACCCATGGATCTTTTGATCCCTGTGTTTACCTTTAGAGTACCCGTGGCTCTAGCTCTGACCTGCTCCCATCTATTCGAGCCTGAACCAGCCATCCGAATCTCGCAAACGAGCCCAATTGCTTTTGAAGCGAACGTCGATGCGCGCACCTGAGAATGCAGGAGTTCTGCCTAGCACTGCTTACTTGTTGTTTCCTGCCAGCTCACCCCCTTCATCATCCAACTTGTTATCGCTTAGAAAAAGCCCTCCACCTCTGCAGCCCATTCAATATCCGTTAGTAAGCACACGGCGCATCAGTTGCTGCCGCATGTCCACGTTTATCTGCCGCGCTCCGGCCTTCCGAATGCAAGAATTGGGCAGCTGAAGGCACTCAGCATGAGGCGCTCCGTGTGGGTGGTCGGACAATGCATGCGGCACGATTGGTAAGGAGAGAAGAGCTTTAAAAAGAGGCTTCGATTCACAAACCACCCGTCCAACCGCCTTGTAGGAGCGATTCAAGTGGGCCTTCTCCTCCCAAGCCTTGGGCAAACTGAGCAGCTTGCGCTCTTTGCCAAATCTCTCGCGCTCGCCTCCGAGCAAAGGCCCTCCGTGGCGAGCCACTGGGCTTTGTCGGCCGGCCTCTCCATGAAACCGTGATCAGGGCCATGGATCTTAGGACAGGTGAAAAGTTGCCCTGAAACACTCGGAACGGAACCCGATCTTTCGTGCCGCGAAGAAGAGCTGGCAAGATGCAACAGTTGATGCTCCGATGGCATCTGCATCCGCCTGAGGGCGGAAAAGGTTTAATATTGTTGGCGTGTGTGACATCGAATTACTCTACATTAACTAGATGACATGGAACAATCTCCTCTGCAACGCACAGTTGGGTATTGATAGGGCAAAGACACCCGAAGATAGATCGAGGCAAGCTGTGCATGCGCAACATTCTATGAATCTTCCTGGGGTACGACCTGTTTCGACTTACAGTACCTGTGACACAAGCGACTGCAATGCCTCATCCATTAGCATCGGGTTCATCGCGCGATGGAAATCCGTTCCTGCCGTGACAGCAACGCCGTCAACACAATCTAGGGTCTTTGAGTTCCAGCCCTCCGATGAGCTGGCTCCTGGAGTAACCAGGCATTGGCAATGCTTGCCATCATCTCCCGGGACGTTGTCAGGCAGGTGCTGGATACTACACCTCGACGACAGCTCTGCTTACGGACACCGGCGCAGCCAATCGTGCCGCACATCTTATGGCACTGTTTTGCGTCTAGGGCACGTGACTGTGTTGATGTCACCTGCCACACGTTATGACCCGCATCACGCTTCGACACCGCAGGAACAGTAACCTTCTGTCATGGCTATGCTAGTGAGAGGGCCGCACTCGCAAGTGGCACAAAAACAAGGCAGAAGGGCTGCCAGGTTTGGCGGCGACGAGGTGCCAAGTCTCCTCGTTCCCCCAGCGAATGTCGCCTCTGCATGGGGTCTTGCGCTCATCTTGCAAGTGCCCTTTTTTGACAATGAGAATCTTGCCTGGGCACCAGCAGTCCGACCACTGAGCAGCACAATACACCCAGAAGGGTTCTTGAGAAGCCGTCTGCGCAGTTTGCGCATCTCCTGGCTCCAGGCTCTCAAGCTGATCTCTGGGTCGAGGCAGGGACTCGTTCAAGCACATCTGCATCGAAAGCCCGGCCGGCCAGTGTGCTAATCAGCTAATCATGCCTTGGGCTCCCAGGGGTGCGGCTGGGGTGGCTGCTGAAGGGTGGACGTCAACTGCCAGTGAAGCAGGTGTTGGCCGCAGCAACAAATTTTTGCATGTAGATCCAGTTCAGCAGAAATTGAAGATTCAACTGAATCGATTAGACTGGATGCCCTGGCAAGCGGTTGCGACGAGTCGGGAATGTGGGCCTTCTGGCAGTTCTTTGCTGCCATCGGCGGCGTTCTCGCTTGCCGGTTGCGGCTCGTAAGCTCTCTTCCTGCTCGGGCTGAGAGATCCATGATCATTGAAAGAGAGCCACAAAGCTTTGCCCAAGTAACAGCAATGTTCGCCAAGATGCGGCGGACGGTGCCCTTTGCCACCTTTGCCGACTCGTGGAGCTTCCAGGGCCACAGCATCGTCCTCGCTGGAACCTCCAGAAGGACCACTTCAGGATGGTTGTCTTTATTGAATCAACTGCTGGTAAGCCCATGCTGTACGAAAAGCGACGTCCGTGGCTGGCCAGGCAAAGGGTGAATTGGTCGGGGACTGTCTGGCGCTGCGAGATCCAACACCATTCACTTACAAGGCCAAGGGCACCGCTGGGCGCATGGAGATTGTGTAGCCGAAAGCTGGCGACGCTCCACCAGAGAATTGCTGCCACTCCGGTGGCATTGAGGACGAGATTCCTTGCAGGCACGATGTGCTTGGAAGGAACACCAGGTAAGCGACATGTCAGCCTGAATTCGGTTTCCGACAAGTCGTTCAGTGATGTGCGTGTTACACAATGCCAAATCATTTTCATGTCGAGAACTCGCCTGTGAGCTTCATTGTGAACCTGCCGACAAGGAACACGATTCCTCGCAGGCTGAACCCCCAGCTGCTGCGGGTGCTCCGAGACATCCCGGGCCAAGGGAGGACGCATCCCGACCAACTGCCCTAGTATTTAGTGCAAGTGAGTCTGCAGCGCAAAGTGAAAGCTGCATAGCTTTTTTGTTAAAGCCGTTGGGTTACTGCGTTGTGTTGCATCAGTCTTGTGGCGATGTAAGCCGAAATGCGCAATGCATGCTGCGAAGCATGGAACTGCATTCAAGAATGGGAATATTCAAGAAGCTTCTGCAGGTGTCGGCCGCACGTCATACGCTGTTTGTCAACGCTGCTTGATAGTGAAGGGGCAGGAATCCAATGAACCTCAGTCTCAAACGGACAACTCAGTCTTCGAGTGCTGGAATGCTATTCGCGCAGGGTCATCTGAACAAGATTACAACAGAACCATGTGTCAGCTAAACCGTTAAACCGCATACGGAATGCACACTGACACAAACCCACGATTACACAACAAAAAGCGCCCCCTGTCGCTTCACCATCGCCTATGCTGGGCAAGCACTGCTATGGCTAGCGGCTAACGATGTCCTGCCGCCCTCCCCCGCTGCACGACGCCGCGTTCACTCAGAAGAATGGCCCCGCAGAATTGAGGTGCGAGTGTGACATGTTACAAGCAGGCCGTGTGCCCTTTTCGAATCAAAGTCTCAAGAAACGTAAACCCGGAAACCGCATAACATATGGGGAGAGCCGGGGGGCGGGGTGGGGTCGATTGGCGAGGCATCGTCCAAGGTCTGAGGAAACCACAAAAACACATAATGTAACCTAAGGACCCAAAATACACAAGGACATGGAAACGAAGCTTTGACAGGCCAGGCTCGAACACGAGCACGCATGTTTGCGCACCCACCGATACTTGGGCTCGAGCGCAAATGCATCGCAGGCACCTCTGATTGCCTCTGCATGTGATCATGTCGCCCATGTGCTACGGCACAGGTTACGATTGAAAGCGCATGTCTCTGATTCTGAGAGGGTGTCGCATCAATACTTTCTCCACTGACCCAGAGTGCACGGCTCTGAGAAACGGGAAAAACTGGTCTACAGCTTAGACGCGGCTCAGGCTCGGCAGGAGCGCGAGCAGCAAATCACTAATCATCACTATTCAACTCTCACGTAAGACTCCGCATCAGAAGCCTTCTGCCAGCTGCACCTTCTCGAACTG